CTATATATATATATATATATATATATATATATATATATATGTTTATCGATACCACAACAAACTTTAACAGCAATGGATTCGTTGAAAATACGAGTTTCATTGGAGTAGGATAAGGAGGATATTGAATGCAAGGAGGGGAGCGAAAGGAAAGCTCGGGGACAGATGGTATAGGGAAATGGGGATAGGAGATGAGAGGCCAGATCTGAGACTACTCAAGGAGATTTCCGGGAATATATGAGGGAAGGCCGGCATGAAAGAGATGATGGGAAGGTTCGTAGAGAGATGGATCGGATAAAGTAAAGGAGGGAGTTGAAAGGCGATAGGATGGGCTCGAAAAATTCCACTCTATGCATCAGCATCAAGTTTTGCCACAATATAGTGTATGTTATTTGCCTTAAAGATTTAAATTTTTAGCTGGTGTGCAAATATAACAGCTGCAACTGCAGGAAACAAGGGGTCGGCCTAACACATGAGCCTTATCTTTGAGTAGTGTTGTCATAGGCTTTATAATAATGGCACACGGACAATGGTAAGACCTCGTTGCGGCTTTAAAACTAAGGTAGCCTTCGGTTTTTACTACTCTCACTACTACTGTTGTATTCATACCATTTTATTATGCTCCTAATTCTATCACTATACTTTACTTTATACATATTATGTGTCGAACATCCTCTAGCAATAGCGTCAGCCAACAGTGGCATCTCTCACGAAGTGGCCTATTCTTCATTGGCTTCCGGTTCTATTCGATCACTAACTACTACTACTACGAGTACCGTTACCAATACTAATAGTACTACTACTACTACTACCATTACTTTCGCGATGGTCCATAATGATCTATTATGCAATAATGGCTCCGAATTTGTATGTATTTGTCAACAGAATGCGGGTAATTTACTAAAACATCACATTCTATGCAATGAACTCATTGAGGTATGTTTGATTTTAAATTCAAACAAACAATTTCAGTACAATTTTGGAAAATTTGTGTTTTAGTTGGCTTTAATGGATTACTTCCTTTAAGCAAAGATCCTCTAGTGGATGCACTTGTTGGTAAAATATTCTAACGTCAGCATATTAAAGTATTAAGCGGGAATAAGGAAGTATCTTCTAATCTCCTGGTAAACATAATACCAAAAATTCCATTGAATTTGTACAGCCGAATCTGCGGGAATCCGAAGATTAAGGAGATTCCCAACTAGGGTTCCCGAAAAGGTTAGGCAATTACTTATGGACTTTTTTTATCCCTAACAAAAAGGAAAAAGGATGGAGAAGAGAAAAGAATGATTGAAATCGAGAAGTTGAAAGATACAATTCTCTTATTTGATAAAAAGACGTTTGGGACTCTTCACCAAAAATCAACAAGAACAAGGGCGTAATAAAACAAATTTCGCAGAACCAACCATTTGATTTTGCGACAACTGATTGGGATAAAGTCTTGAATTTTATTTTCCTTAATCTTCTAATCAATTTCACTTGAAGCAATACTCAATCCCCAATCGAAAGTTCAAACGTCAGCGATATACTGATAATTATTGAATTTAGCTTAAATATAGAAATTTAATGTGAAAACATAATATGCTTTTCACTTTTACGAAACTCGGAATATTTAAAATCTGCTCGATGTTAGTTCACTGAATGTCATAAAAAGGAAATCCTTCATCCCTTAAAAACTTCAGTCTTCAAAATACTTGAAAACTTGAGACGCCGACAAAACTCAATTACAAAGAATCGATGGAGTTGATGCCAGAGTGTATATTGCTATTTCCAAAACTTCTTATAAGTTGCGGCTATTGTCCTTTGTACAGTTTTCCCTAGCAAATATATATGACGGTTTGCAGTGAAGGTCACTTGATCGGATGTATCAAAAACTGGTGTAAATGAAATGAAACTTTATAAACAAGAAAAATAAGTTCTCATAATCTTAAGATAATTAATGTGAATAATAATTATGGCGAAAATCTTAAAATCAAATGTCATTCACAGTGTTAAGTAATTGGGCTTTTCAAAGCTTACAACTTTTTTTGCAATCATAACAAAGTAGGCATTGACGCTACTGATAAGTTAACTCAGCTTTAACATTATATCTTGAACAACGCTTATGTCTAAGTGATGAATAACGGAGTAATTGAAAAATATGGCACAAATAAAGGATGGGGAAAATTTCCTTAAATTTTTAACTGGACTGGATGCAAAAGACAACACCTCCTACGTTTGTTCTTTTCGAATACAATTAATCACTTACAGATACTAACTTATGACGAAGAAAAATCTGAAAATTAAACAATTTTTGCATGGCGTAAAAGTTTTTGACTCTAATAAAAGCGACAATATTAAATTCAGGAATTTTTCAGTTGGATGAATTGCCAGTAATTGAAATGAACATCAGGCGTGTCAATTTAAGTGCCCGGTTGCATACCAATGAAACCTACGAATCTTATTTTAAGCGTCGGGTTGCAACCATTGTAAGTAACTACTGCGAGCAACGAGCTGACGAATGTATGGCTACAACGCTTAGGCTAAAAAAGGTAATTGTTAATGAAAGAAGGAAAATCGGTATTTTATCTGTTTACAGTTAAATGATAAATTAAATATCTAGACTTTATAGGCTAGTACTTTCTCTTAGTTGATTTATTGGGAAGAAACACACTCTTCAAATCGTCTTGATGCACTT